TGCTGAACATTTTTACTTAGTATATCGAACACTGATTACCTTAGTCATTTTTGAGAAATAGCCAAAGTAAATTAATTCATTTTTATTTAGATATAAATAGAATTTATATAATTTTTATATTTATATAAATAATACATAAAATTTATATAAATATTAAATTAAGTCATACATAAAAATCCCAACTATGTAAGTCTATATTGGGTTTATAATCTAAATAAAAATTTTATATAACATTTATATAACTTGATAGAGCTATGTAGATTTTATAAAAAATGACCTTGTGATGTATTCTTTGAGATCTTCAAGCATTCATATTTTGCTCTTGAAGTTTCCAGGTTTGCCTTTATTTATACGGGTTAAGATTCAAAGCATGTTTTTTTTATTATTTCAAATTCATTATTTGTTTTATTATTTTATTATTCGACAGAGTAAACCAGTCAGTGTTGGCACTGGAAATATGTTGTTTGATTGGTTGATTACGTAAATCAATTTGTAGATCACATTTTTAAAATATGATTGGTCGTCATGATAACCCGTGATAATTAACCAATCAAATGTCATATTTTTAAAAGATTCATTCGTTTTAATACTATACTAGCAGAAAAGAAACACAATGAATAAACTCATAAATTAATAAATATACAAGAATTAATTAATTTCATGTACTTAAAGAATATGTAAAAATGGCATTTATTATGAATAAACTCAAACTTATTAATACAATATATAATCTATAACCTAACTCTTTATGATTAAAAACCCCAAACAAACTGCAAAAACAAAACATATCCAGTGTTAAACCTGGATCTCTTTCTACAAAAGCTTATTTTATTCAAAATAAATAGTTAATAAAAGTTTATTTAATTTAACATACTCGGGTAGTTTTATAAATGGTAGGCATAGTTTGTCTTCTAAGTAAAGTCTTTAGGTTTGTGAATTGTTTTTTGATTATTTTGCACTGTGAATGAGGTGTTCTTCTGAAGCTATTAATGATGTTTGCAGTGAATTTTTGTTGTGAAACGTCAAAGTACTTTAAACCAATCAACCGAATTTCTTTCTATGAGGTCCAATGTGTCCAATCACTAGTGATACGGGCCAATGCCAAACCCTCGGGCCGGCTGGGCTGCCAAAATTATTCAGGCCGGTTGACCGGGCTGACCATTCTACTAAAAAAAATTTTGCTTAAGAAATTATAACTTCAATACTTACTTTTATTAGTTTAACATATAAGTGCATGAAATGGTTAACTTTATTAATTATAAGTATAGATTATTTTTAGCACATATGTGAATCAAACTAATCAGTGATTATAACGATATTTGTATTAAAATCTAAGAATAGAGAAATGTTTAATTATTATAAATAAATTTTTAATATGAAAAAGCGACAGAAGGAGGTGCGGCGACTTAGTGAAGTGGTTGTCGGGTAATTGTCGGCGATCGGGAAATGGGATACTATTACAAATATACACATTGATGCATTTGTGCGTCCACGAACCTAGCATGACCACTAAAATCAGTTACGTACAGAGTTAATTTTATCACCAGTTCATTCTTAAATCACAAAAGGTACTGTAAAAATGGTCACAGATCAAGAAATTTACAATCTCGATAGAACATTTACTGTATAAAATAAAATTATTCAATTTCACGAATCTTTACTATTTATTCCCATTAATTAATCGGTGAGTATAAAATTATTTATATCTAAACCTAAGTGCTGCATAAAATAAAGTGAAAATGACATATTTTAATTCTAATTACCGTATACTTCCGAAATTAAGCACCCCTTCGGAGCAATTTTTATAGTCAAAATTCTCGTGATCTAATAATCGGATCTGCATAATTTTGGTACCATTCGAATCATT